GTTTCAACAACATCGGTTTGTAGAAAGAGTTTAACTTTGATTGGTTTGAAAGCTAATGGCTAGTCCTAGCGGAGCTAAGACTGAAGTGAACTGCTGCTGTCTTAAAAGTTCAAATTTCTAAAATTTCTATTTGTTTCATACAAACACTTTTTTTATAAAGTTTTTTTTAAACCATTGCCTTTGAATCCTGTGACAGACTTTTATTTTTCTTAGCTCTTCAGTCTGGTCAGATTTAAACACTTATTTCTCCTAACAGGTTGTTCAACAAGCTATCTACAACAGGTAAGGTATTTGTTATTCATAATTTCTCTACAGAACCCCACTTCGGAGACGTGTTTATGTTAACAGTTTGAACTCCCAGTTTAACCGCTCGTTAGTTGAAAGGTAACAGCATTAAATAAAAAGAAGGATGTAAATTCAGGATGCAAGCCAAATAAGGAGTTTAGTTTCATTTTAGATTTTTTTTAATAGTTCTATACGTTAAATTTAGGGATGTAGCATCTAAGTTGAAAACAACGTCCATTACAGAGACTTCTCATTGATCAGTGATTTAAATAGAGCAGACTGAGTCATTTCTGAGATAACGTGTTTCACACACAGACACAGCTGCAGCAGTTGAAGATTGTTTTTATGATTGAGACTCTGTAAAGTGCCTGTAACGTGCACATCAAGGTCTCTCTTCAAAATGAGTCCTCGAGGCTCAAAGAGACTAACCTGTATGAACATCCTACAAACACAAAAAGTGGAAGAAAACATCTAAATATAAGAAATTTGGCATTTTTCTCATAACTGGCATATTATACAGTATTTTGAACTTGGTGCAGCCACAGTGAAACAGGAAGTGACATCAAAGGGGAACTCTTTAAAAAGAGGAACTCTCCGGTCTTTGTTTATTGAAGCACTATTATTTGAACTCCGACTCATCTTCGTCTCTGATAGTGACTCAAAACCATCTAAAGGAACATCAGATTCTTCTCTGCTGTCCGTGTTGTCAGCCACGGCAGCAATGTTCTGTTCACATGCAGGCATTCTCCATGACATCACTTCCTGTTACTGCGATTACAAATACAGCATCTCAACTGTTCATCTCAGCGGAGTGAATTTAAATAAAAGATGTTTGCAATACATTTTATCTTTCCAAAAACGCATTCACATTTATTACAAAAATCTGATGTCACAGGCACTTTATAAAATCTAAAGATATTTTTCATGTTATTTAAGCTTTTGTGTTGTAATTTATGGAATTTTTCAGGATTTATACTGTTCCTGCTTTTAATCAGGCTTATATATGCTACTTTTTTTTTTTTTTTACAGTTCTTTACTTTTGTTGTTTGATCTCTTCTCTGCTCCTTTGCATTCTGCTCTCCCTACACATCTGCTTTCTGTTTAGTAATTGCCACACCTGTTTTAATTGATCATCGCCCCATTCATTGCTACAACTACCAGGTTTCTGTGGTCCTTGTTGAGTTGCTTATTCCTTCATCCCTCTGTGAGTAATTAACTTAGCGTTGGCTCTCTGCCCACGCAGCTCTTTCAGTAAATAAGAATTGATTTATTCCCACATCTTTCTGCCATTGAAGACATGTTTTGAAGACGTGTCGGTGAGGCACATAATTCATGTGAATCCAGTGTGATGAAGCAGGGACACATTTCAAACATGATGAACGCAAAGCCAAAAATGATAAAGCACCACATTAGAGAAGCTTTATGTCCTCCTGCTTGTTTAAAGGAGCCTACCTGTACATCCGAAGGCCACCACTCCTACTGAGAACAGGTTAATGACGTAAGACTGCTTGGTGGTGAACTTTTCCAGCCAGATATCAAACAAACTGACAAAGATGAGCGGCCCCAGGGCCAGGATGTAACCTGCAGAGGAAGGAAGGAACAACTGGACGGTAAGTAGACATCACAGATCTGAGTCAGGACTTTGAAACACATTAAAACCATCGCCTGAAGTAAGGATCTATTCCAGAGCTACAAATTAAAAAACTCTAGACCTTCAGGCTGAAAACACATTTCAAAGGTTTTTCCCTCAAGGACACAGGCAGATCTATTTTAAGATACAACGAGCACAGTGATGAAATCACCCCCTCACATTTAAGAGCTAATATAGAAACACTAAAATTCACACTAGAGACAAATTTTAAACAACTTTATTTTTTATTAGATGGACAAATATACCTTTTTTTATTTATCTCCAATATTACACAGTAAAGGTTTTAAAAACTATTTGACAGTTATCTTGAGTCTCATTTCTAATGTTTCTATTTTCTCTAAGAACAAATTGGCTAGCTTGTTTCTGAACGTCTTTGTTAAACAGCACACGTCCAGATATAAACTAGAAGTGTAAGCAGCTTTTGGTCCAAACCCCGTGACGCATGTTCCTCCCCACATCCTGCAGACTCAGTGCACAGCAGACTACAGATCAACGAGCCGAGGAATGGTCCGGTCCAGAAAGCACAGTGTCCAAACTTAAAGCTTATTTGTGTCCTCAAGCTCATGGTTGGACTTGTCCAGCTTTGTACCACTCAGAAACATTCTTTATGAGATAAAGGATTGTCTGTTTTTTTTGTTTGTTTGTTTGTTCAACGTGTATTTATTTTATTTTATTTAACCTTTATTTTTACAGGTAGTCTCATTGGGTCACAAGGACTCATTTTCAAGAGAGACCTGTTTTTGGTTGCATGGTGGGGGTTAAGGGCCTTGCTCATGGGCCCAGAGTGGGACAAATGAGGGTGGAGGCAGGTGTGGGTGATTTTGCACCCTTAGTGTGAGCTTTATGTACGAGCTCCACACTTAGTTTCTTGTTTTTGCTGTATTTATATGGCAGGGTTACAGTGTTACTTTCTTTGAGAAGTTAGGTTGTTTTTGGTGTTTCTGTGTGGATGAAGACATTTCTAGAAACAGTGCTGTGTTTATGGAGATATTTTAGAAAAAAAGAGGAAAAAAAATGTAAGAATTGTATTTTCTTGTGGGTAAAGTCTTAAGGATCCTTCACAAGACACCTCGAGATGCTATCTGGTCACCTAGGTGTGATTTCTGAATGGGCTGAGGAGGCGAGGGGGGTCGCGGCCAACCCACCCCTGATGCTCCACTGTGCTGCAAAGCGAGGTAGTAACAGAGCCAAAACGATTGACCAGTGAAACGATAAGTCTTGGTGCCGCAGCTCAATAATGCGATGATGTGATGACAGCTGGTTTGTGCGACCAGCACCGGATTAATCAGCAACAAACAGAGTTGTCCCAGGAAGATCGATGATGACGCACAACAACCATAAAAAATAGTTTATCACAAAACAAACAACTAAACCGAGTTAATTCGTCATGTTTTAAAAACAAAACAAAGCCACCATCACACATTAAATGTGTGGTGCTCCATGTCAACCCAGCTGAATTCTGCTCCATGCCTCCTTTGGTTTTGCGATGCTTGCTTCATTTCTGACAGCTCATCACTCTGCGGGGCGTGGCCGGCTCCATCTGTGATTCATGATCGGCCCGAGGAAGCATAAAGACGGTGAGGCTGTTTCAGGGAACCGTTTTACTAAAGGTCTTTAAGTCTTGTGAATTTTCTGTACGTGTTCTGTTTTTTCAGCAACATAAGAACGAGACCTTCAGGAACAAAGAAAGCCCTCAATTGTTTCGACACACTTTGAAAACTCTCTTCAAATTCCACTCACAGCTTTTAAGAAAGACCGTTTTACATCCACGTTCACCATCATTTTTTCTGAGTTTTGATCTAAATGAAAACAAAAACAGCAAAAAACGAAGCCTCTTTCTCTTCGTAACAACTTAATAGTCTGAATGTTTATGAAACATTCACACTACTGTGATCCATTTTTTCCCCGTACGTGTTCAGCGCGACTCTCGTTCCAGTTTTTGTGCTATTTCAACAAATCATAAATCAAAACGTTCAGCTCTTTCAGGACAATCCTGCTATGACTTTTGGTATTGGTGCAACTTTAGCTTTTTGAAACATTTAGCCTTTTCTGCCGTTTTTTTCCTCATAGAAAATGAATTGAGCTCATTTTACATCCTTCAGATCTTTAGATCTGTTTACAAACTTTTACTGCTCCTTTCACATTTTGTTCGGCTTCTGCGTCTTTCAGCTTTCTTCTGCAAATTTAAACGTTTTTTTTCAGCTACTTTCAGCTAATTTCAGTTGTTTTTTTCCAGATGTTTTGTGCTCCTTTCAGATTCTTTCTGCTAACTACAACATTTTGGTGCTTCTTCTAACTTCTTTCTGCTAATTTCAGCTTGTCATGCTCCTTTCAGCTTATTTCTGAAAATTTCATTTTTTTTCTACTAGTTCAGCTACTAATTAGCTGTTTTATACTAACTTAAGCTTTTTCAGCTAATTCCACATTTTTTTTGCACTCATTTCAACTTTTTTCAGCCTAATTCAGCAAAAATGTGCTCTCTCCACTTCTTTTTTGTAATTTCAGCTTCTTTGTGCTTTTAAGCTACTTTTCAGATATTTTTTGTTGTTGTTGCTAATTTCAGTTTTTTTCAGATAATTTCCAACTTTTTGTGCTCATTTTTGCTTTTTTCAGCCTAATTGGGCAAACATGTTCTTTCTGCCTTTTATGCTAATTTAAGCTTGTTCTACATTTTCACCTAGTGTTTTAAAGCTAATTTTAGCTGTTTTCAGATAAATTCAATTTTTACTTGGTAATTTTTGCTACTTTTAACCTAATTACTTTTTAATGCTAATTTCAGCTTGTTATGCTCCTTTCAGCTTTTTTTCTGCTAGTTTTCAACTTTTTCTGCTCTTTCATCTACTCTTTAGCTGTTTTATGTTAATTTTATCTTTTTCAGCTAATTTCAGCCTTTTTTTCTATTTTCCTAATTTTTGTGCCCATTTCTGCTTATTCAAACCTAATTCAGCAAATATGTATTCTTTCTGTTTTCTTCTGCTAATTTAGGCGTGTTCTTCCATTTCAGCTACATTTCAGCAGGTTTTTAGCAAGTTCTTCTGCAATAAGCATTCACACTGCATTTTTTGCAGGAAATGCAGTTTCTCTAGTTTATTATTATTGTTTATTTTTTTTCTCCTTTCCATTTCACAGAGGATCTTTGATAGATGAGCTCCTTCCACACAGAAGCTGTGACTTACCTACAGTAATCCTGGTGTGCATGCTGAGTCTCTCCACCAACACGTTGTTGAGGATGACGGCCAGCAGAGCGACCAAAATGTACGTCAGACTCATGTCAAACACTATAGATGTTCCTGAAACACAGAGAAGAGGAGTGACCTCAGAGTGTAGATGCTTGAGGCATTCTTCTTTACAGGTCCTCGTGTTTTGTTTTATCGACACTCGTGCAAATTTTTTACCCTCAAACTTGCGATGCAGGTAGTCTACATCAGTGATGAAGCTGTTGTAGGGAAGGAGGAAACCAACTCCCGCCAGTAGCATCGCAAAGTAGATGCCATGGTAACGGTCGTCAGGAATCGGTTCTTCGAAGTCTGAGGAGGTGAAGAGGGAGTGGAGGGTTAGGGAGAATTACAGATTAGGTCATAATCAGAGGGGGATGTGACTGACTTCAAAACTTCTAAATCAGGGCTGAAGTCAACCCTCTGGATCTTCACTAACAAGATGAAGCAGGAACACTTCATTTGGTTTTGGGGGAAGATTGACCTGAGGAATCGTTGATGGTGGACCAGCGGTCCAGCTACAGTCCAGTGTCATGAGCTGGACGTCCTGCAGCTGATTCAGTGTGATGTTCTTTATGTAACGGTTCCTAATCTCGTTCTGACCCGGTAAGCTTCAGATGATTTCTGAGCAAGAAGAGGAGGGTGGAGAAAAGTACTTTACTGGATATTCTACTCTTGGCTTTTCAGAGTTTTATTTATTGTCCAAATGTTAATTTACAGTGTTGTGCAAAAGTCTTGAGTCGATATTCATTTTGTTGTTTGTTTTGTTGCTTCTGATCCAGATTTTCTTTTAAAATGGAATTGATCACCGTCTTTTTTACTTTTCCCACTCATTTTCTGCCCAGTTCCTGATTCTCCCGTTAACTTAATCAGATTCAAACTTCTCCTCCGGCTCTTTCTCATTTATTATTTTTATTTTTTACAGCTTTTGCTGCTCGTGCTCTGACATTTTTTATAAATGTGTTGCTGCCATCAAATTAAAAACCACCTAACTTCTTGAAAAAATAACAAATAAATAATAAAAAATAACATTTTACGAGTTTAAACATTTTGATCAGATGTTTTGTTTTATTGTGAATAAAACATTTTTATTTACGTTTGACACATCGTTCCAACTTGTTCAGGATTTGGACAATAAATCTGTAGATAAGTTAATAAATATAAAGATGATCTTGATGACTGATGACTATTTAATCAAGTGGACTTTAGGAGCAGACTGTCCTGATTCCTGTTCAAGCAGTGTTGTTGTTTTTCCACACACTGCTTCTGAGATTTGGCAGTAACACAAGGATACTATCACTTTTTATCAAACATTACTGTGTTATTTTCAGTCTTAATGAAGACCAAGTCATTTTTATGCCCTGAAATATAAAAAGTTTGTGTCAATAAATCAATTATTGAATCCTGCTCATTTGTCTGCATCTTAAATATTTATCTTTTCATTCTGGATGTGGCAACTCTCTTGAGTTATTTAACTCAGTGCTGGCTGATGGTCTAATTATTACAAAATAAAGGATTTAAATTATATTCTGAGCTTCACAGACTGGTATTAGTCACATTGCTCGTATAAAACAAGGTCGTAAAAAGAAAGATAAAGTTTAAAAAGATACTTCGGAGTAAGCAGACAGCATTGAAGGACAGGAAACAGATGATTGTGAGCAGAAACCCAGGCAGTGAGCCTCTGACCATGATCTAATTAACTTTGTGCAACATGTGGTCCCAGACAACATCATTATATGTAAACGGGACGGCCTTCACTAACACTTCCCTTTTCTCTCTCTTCATGATGCTGCTTTCTTCTGTAAACACTCTGGTCTTGTACTAATTCACTTTAAATACAAAAATAAATTTGAATAAATCTGCCATTAGTGTAACAGCTTATGTAGTCTCTTAAAATAGAAAAGTCCTGCAAAGAAATGCACACTGCACCACCGTGGATCATTTTCAGTGAATTAAATTGCAAACTATAAAGTCAAACATATAAAATGTTGTCCCTGCTGTATATCTAATGATGCAGTTTGAAAAGGAGTTCTCTCCAGTAGAGTTGAAATATATTATTGTGCCATGTTGAATTGTGGGTATGCACTCAGTGTAAACAAAGCACCTGCTGAAGCCACTGAAAACCACATGGGAGCTTGAGTCATGTGTTTGACATGCATGAGGCTGGTAAACAAATATGGCGGCTCAGAGAAGCCGAGAATCTCCGAGAAAATGTTTAATTAGAAATATTAGAGTGAATCTGCAGCTAAATGCAAAAGAGAATAAACGAGTGAGACTACGTCTAAGAATAAACATTGGGGTTGAAACAGGGTGGTGTTTATCTGCATATTTTACTCAACAAATCTGAGTGTAGCCATGTACCAACACATCATAGTTGTTGGACAAAGCCAATGTTTACCTGTTTTCAGTCACCGGCTGTTTCTGAACAAACACCAAGGTTTGATTAATGGACACGTTAACAATAAAAAAAAAAATGCTTATTTACTTTATGCTATTTAATTTATTTATGTTTGCCTAGTCTTCATGACTCTCCAGTGAGAGCTTGTAAAACATTAAGGAGTAAATTACTCCTACACCTTTTTTAATAAACATTTCTTTAACTCTGTTCCCCCACTTCCTGCACAAAGTGATAAATCACTACTTTAAATCACTTTTATTTTTTTCTTTCTCGTCTCTTTAAAAATAGAACCTGACACACAGAGAGGGAGGCAGAACCGCTCACCGGGCTCAGACAGAGCCAGCACTCCTCGCTCTGGGGCGTCTTTACTGATCTCCTCCTCCTCCAGCTGGTACGAGTCGAAGCTGTAGCTCTGCACCACGCCGCTCTCCCTGCCCTCCCTCCAGGCCTCCCTCCCAGCATCCCTCCATCCAGCTCTTCCTCCGTCCCTCCACACGTCCCGCTCCTCTGGCGTCTGGGCCGGCGTGGGCCTGCGGCGCTCCGCTCCCACCGAGCCCATCTCGAAGGCAAACACACACACTGTAGATCCCTCTCAATTAAACGGGCTCCATGGGAGCGTGCATGTTGGACAGAACCCCAGTGACACGCCCTGGAAGAGATGCAGGGCTGGAGAGAAGCCTCTGGATCTGCAGGAGGGGAGAAGTGACAGGAAACAGGATGAAAACGTCAAAGAAAAGGCAGGATAAACAATGTGGAGTGAAGGTTAGACACCCTGAGAAACATTTGCTCCTGTGTGTGAGAGGAATACTGAACGAGAGGTTCAGACTGACAATAGATGTAGGAGGGAGAGGCTGACAGGGTGAGGAGGAGAACCTGCAGCTCAGGGAACAGACACGGACCAGAACAGGAACTGAAAACTAAAATCTATGGCTAGTTCAAGCAATAAACCCAAAGCAACCACCCTCATGGTTGTAGTGTTTCAGCTGCTGTACGACAGGCTGTATGCTGATCCGTTTTAAACACACAGCCTCAAGTCGTTGTCTTAAGCACAGCAAATTGACCATTTATAGATTTCATTATTCAAAAAGGAGGAGAAAAGGTTGGAATTCTTGGGTTTTACCTTTAAGGACATAATAAAGTTTAAAATATCTCTGTACAAACACATATTTTGTCAGTTTGCTGCTCTGGAGCAGACAGGAATGTGTTAGCACACTGCCAAGATGGGAAGAGATCAGCAATGACCTTAGAGCAACAACTGTTGCTGCCTGCCAATCTGGGAAGGTTAAAGGTCATTTCCCAATGTGTCTATCGTTCTCTAGAGACAATTATTCAAAAGTGGAAGTAGAGACCACCAAATATTTATAGGAATCAACAAACTCAATAGGAACACCATTCGAGGATAATCAAAGGAAGAACTTCTTGTTTGAAAATAACATCCCTTTGGTTTTGTCGGCGTTTAGCACCAGTTTGAGACGGAACAAATCTGACTGGATGATGTCGAAAGTGGATTGCAAAAACTGGAAAGCCTTATAGCAACTGTTTTAGCTCGACAGTAAACAACTGTGTCATCAGCATAGAAATGTAAGGATGCATCAGGGATGCTTTGACCTACATTACCTATGTAGATTGTAAAGAGGGTGGGTCCTAAGACTGAGCCTTGTGGTACACCATTGTTGACTGTTAAATAACTGGAGGAGGTACAGTTATGCTGAATACATTTCCTCTGGTCTGAGGGATAGTGAACTAACCAATGGCGTGATCTGAGAAACCAATTTCTGAGAGTTTATGACACAAGATGTTATGATGCACAGAGTCAAAAGCTTTAGACAGGTCTAAGAAATGTGCAGCACAATAATCCTTAGCATCCAGTGTGTCAACATCATTAAAAACCTTAAGTGAAGCAGTCATTGTGCTGTGCTGTTTCCTGAAACCAGATTACCCATAATGCACAGCGCCACGTTTGACAAAACAGAACACGGCATATTAGCACAAATGCCTCATACCAACTGTTAAGCACGGTGGTGGAAGGCTGATGATTAGGGCTTGTTCTGCAGGACCTGGGAAGGCTTGTAGTCACGGAGTCAACCAAGAGTGTGAGACCATCTGTCCTACAGCTTGGACCAAACTGGGACAGAACCCCAAACACAGCAGTAAATCTACAACAAAATGGCCGACACAGCAAAGAATCAAGGAGTTGCAACGATTCAGACCTCACCCTGATGAAATGCTGACGGGACAGAGCTGAGAAGAATAAATGTCTGCAAACCTCAATGAACCGAAGCAACGACATGAAGTCTGACAGGGTTGTTGTTGCCAAAGGAGGTTCTGCTGAATCACGGGCTGGATTTAAATTTTCACTCGTTTGTTGTTTTTGTTTAATAAATGTCACTTGAAGACAGAAAACAAGTCCATTTTTCACCGCATGGACAAATGTCAATTAAGGGATATTAATGAGAAACAGAAATAATTGTGCTTCATGATATTCAGTAAAGATGCGATGAAGTTGGATGTTCTTCTGACTGATGATTTACTCATGATAGATAAGTCCAAATCATTCTCCAGCCATTTAGGACTAAAAGCTCTCCAGAGAATATAAGAATTTATTTGATTTATTTTCTAAAATTGACCAATCATGCTACTTTATGTTATTTGTTTTGGATCAGCCCCTCCACACCCTAAAAACTCTGACAATCCATTCACATTGAGACAGAACCAAACACTGTCCCACGCGTGAGAGCAACAGAACTTGTTTCAATAATGAACTCGAAGCAAACAGAGCTCTGAGCTGATCCTTGTCATGAAACAGCTTCACAAACTGTTTAAATGTTCAGAAGTCTCCTTTCTGTCAGCGCAGCAGCTGAAGCTCACTCTGAGGGAGCATGTGGACAGAAGCAGCTGTTGACATGTCTCCAAACACAGAACGCACCTGCAGAAAGCTGCAGAACCCAAAGACCTCCAGAACAGTTCTGCTTCATCTTCTGAACCCAACAGGTCGTGCTGCATTTTAAAAACCCCATCCTAAACCCTGATGATGCAAGAAGCTGATGTTCTCTGCAAAGGAAGCAGGTTGATGGAGGAGGCTGGACCCGATCAGAACCGAGATGTTTCGCCGAGGTTCCCGGTCCAGACCTGGGGAGGCGCTCGCAAGCTTTATAATACAAATAATACAAATAATAAAATGTTTCAAATCAAAAAGGCTGGAGCCTTAAATAATCTGATAGAAAGCTTCAGGTTTAAGATGATGATCTGCAGCTTGAACAGTCCAAACAGGTGAACGTTGTTTAAAACGAGCCACTCGTTAAAGAAAATAAAAACACTCAACATGATGTTCTGGCAGAGGACGAGTCCAAACAATGGATCATTTGAAGTTCTCCTACAATAAAGCCCGTCATGGTCGAACCTCGTTGTTTCTGAGCTCCGCGTTTTATCAGACACCAACAACAGGTTCTGTCTTTACCTCTCTGATCCCGAGATAAGAAGCTTCCTGCGGGGTCCCGGTGCTGGTCTCGTTCTCTCGGTCCGGACCTGGTTCCTGCTCAGCCCGTCTCCATCAGACAGGAGGGGAGACCCGGAGCTGTCGGTCCGTCCGTCGGTCCTGATGCGCTCCGAGCTCAGCATCCAGCCGGGGAGGAGGAGGTGGAGGAAGAGGAGGTGGAGGAGGAGGAGGGGTTTTGTTTCCCTTCATGCTTTCAAGTCTGACCGTCATTCAGATTTAATTCATTAGCAGTGCAGTCAACCTGGTTTTGTTTGTAATCTCAGAACTATTTCCTACGAATGTTTAGTTTAATGACCGAAAGCTAATTTAAATTAACCAGCAGGATTCGTTTCACTGCAAAAAAACAAAACACTTTTATCATAGCGACCACTATAATTACCAAATAACAAGCTTAAGAACAGCAAGGTAACACCACCACTCCGTGGTCTGCTTATATAGTTACTACTTAGCCAAAAACACAATCCCTCGAGTTGTCGCCATACTGTTGAAGCAAAGGATCATGGGAGTTTTTAACGGCGGCTTTTCTCGCTTTTCTCACTTTCCGTGTCGCTAGCTGCTAATGCTAATACTTGCATGATTGAATGCAAATAGAAACAAATAGTTATGGAATAGAAATTATTTTAAACAATGGATCATGAAGAAATGATGATAAGATAATACGAGAATAACGTTGTACGACAATAAAGAAAGTCGTATTATTACAAGATTTGTAAATTACGAGAATAAATTAGTAGTATTATGAAAATAAAGTCGTAATATTACAAGAATGTCATAATATTATCAGAATAAAGTCGTAATATTACAAGAATAAAGACATAATATTATCAGAATAAAGTAATAATATCAGAATAAAGTCGTAATAATAAGAGAATAAATTCGTAGTATTATGAGAATATCCATCCATCCATTATCTTTTACCCGCTTATTCCATTTTGGGTCACGGGGGTCGCCCGTGTCCATCAATCACTGTGCGAGGGGCGGGTTACACCCTGGACGGGTCGCAAGTCCATCACAGGGACACATAGAGACAAACGAGACAAACAACCATTCACTCTCTCACTCACACCTAGGGACAATTTAGAGTAACCAATCAGCCTAACATGCATGTTTTTGGTCTGTGGGAGGAAACCGGAGCACCCGGAGGAAACCCACGCATGCACGGAGAGAACATGCAAACTCCACCCAGAAAGGCCCCTGGCCCGGGGTTTGAACCAAGGACCTGCTAGCTGAGAGGCAGCAGCTCTACCAGTTGCGCCACCGTGCTGCCCATTATGAGAATATAGTCGTAAATTACGAGAATGTCATAATATTATCAGAATAAAGTCGTAATATTATCAGAATAAAGTCATAATATCAGAATAAAGTTGTAATTTATGAGAATAAAGTCAAAATAATACGAGAATAATGTTGTATGACAAAAAAGAAAGTCGTAATATTACGAGAATAAATTTGTAATATTACGAGAATAAAGTCATAATATCAGAATAAAGTCATAATGTTACGAGAATAAAGATAAAATAATACGAGAATAAAGTCGTAGTAGGCCCTATTATGAAAATAAACTCATAATAAAGTTGTAATATTATCAGAATAAAGTTGTAATATTATGAGAATAAAGTCAAAATAATACGAGAATAAAGTCGTTGTAGCCCTACCATGAAAATAAACTCATAATATTACCAATAAAGTTGTAATATTACCAAAACTCCGACACAAAAAAGCAGTGATGAATGTTGATATAGACAGTCCAATAGCAGGGGGCCCAACACACTGTGGCATCTTATGATAATCTGAAGCCATATGGCATTGCAGTTAATGGCTGCATTGACGGATTTAATCGTAACATAATGTGGATGGATGAAGGCATATCACAAACCGTGATCCAAAAGTGATCACGGAGTACTTCATAAACACAGTGGCTCGCATTGGAGGCTGTCCGCAGCAGGTGCGAGCCAACCCAGGATGTATTACGAGTTTATTCTAGTAATAATATGACTTTATTCTCATAATACTATGAATTTATTCTCATAATAGTTCAACTTTATTCTCATATTAATTTATTC